TATATTTTTAGTTGTCCAATTAATTTCTTTTCTAATTTTGGTAGAGACGGGGTCTCACTCTTGCTCAGGCTGGTTTCGAACTCCTGAGCTCAAACGATCCGCCCGCCTCGGCCTCCTAGAGAGCTAGGATTACAGGCGTGAGCCACCGCGCCCGGCCTAAAGCTTATTTTTACTTTAAAAATGTCTGTTTTTTCTGCTAAACAGACGTAACCATTTAAAATCTCATAAGTATGCCTGTTTTTCAAAAAAATGTGTACTTACAGTGATAGTGTAGTCAGCTTATTGATATCAGACTGAGCTAAGATAAAATGCACTCTTCCTTCTTTTGCTTATTATGTGTTATTTTCCCCTCATTCTGCAGCCTGTGACTGTCATCCTGAGGGGTCTCTTTCACTCCAGTGCAAAGACGATGGTCACTGTGAATGCAGGGAAGGCTTTGTGGGTAATCGCTGTGACCAGTGTGAAGAGAACTATTTCTACAATCGTTCTTGGCCTGGCTGCCAGGAATGTCCAGCTTGTTACCGGCTGGTAAAGGATAAGGTAAGCTGTCAACAGTGCATCTTTTCATTCATTCAGCAGATGTTGAACGGCAACTTACTGTGCGCTGAGCTCCAGAGAAGAAAGGGCAAACAAGATAGATGTGGTCACTCTTGTTAAGAAAAGATATGTGTTGCAGTTGGGAGGCAAATAATAAACATTAAATATATAAACAGGAGAAATACTGAAATAAGTGCCAAAAAGCATAGAAATGGATAATCTCTGGGGGAAACTACTTTTATATAAGGCCTCTCTAAGGAAATTTATTTAAGATGAGATCTTAAGGATAAGAAGGAGTGAGCCAAGTGAAAAGTAAAAGTAAAGTTGTTCCAGGCAGAAGGAATGTGGTGTTCAGAGGCCTGGAAGCTGGGCAGTGGCAGGAGCCTGCTGAGTGAGGAGGGAGTGGTCTGCCGTAAGAATGGAGGGGTTGGCAGGGACAGGTTATATAGGGCCGTGTTGACCGTAGTAAGGAGTTTAGATTTTATCCAAAATCCAGTGGGAATGCATTGAAAAAGCCACAAAGTCCAGTTTATGTTTAAGAGGAGCATTCTGAGTGCTGTGTGAAGAATGATGGTTAACAATGGGGCAAAGGGGAAGGCTCGATTGGGTTGGATAAACATGTATTTGGGGCAGGACAGGGAAAGAGAAAAATCAAGGATGGGTCTCGGGTTTTTTGCTTAAGGTAGCTGGAGGCCTTACTGAGATGGAGATTACTCGGAGAACGGAGAGGTATAATTTCGGATGTTAGGTTTGAGATACCTATCACAGGGTTGAGTGGAGGTATCAAGAAGGTAATCTGACACGCAAGGGAGAGGTCAGAGCTCAAGAATCATCAGCATGTAGTGTTTAAAGTCAAAGGAATGGTCCTGAAAGTTTTCTTTGAAAGCCAGAGAAATAAAGAAAAACTGCCCATGTCATCTATTCAGAAGTGGACATGCATGGGGTGCGTAGACCTACGTATCATAGAGTGTCCCTGTGAGTCTGACGGGTAGGATTGGGTTCTTCAGGAGTACCTGTGTGTTGTACCTTTCCCTTTTCTTCCTTCGTTATGTTTAGGTCGCTGATCATCGAGTGAAGCTCCAGGAATTAGAGAGTCTCATGGCAAACCTTGGAACTGGAGAAGAGACGGTGACAGATCAAGCTTTCGAGGATAGACTGAAGGAAGCAGAGCGGGAAGTTACGGACCTCCTTCGCGAGGCCCAGGATGTCAAAGGTACGCGTGATTGAACAGTGGGAGCTTCCGTGAGATGGGCCAGTCTTTACATGTGGTTCCTAATTCAAGGTTAATTAGTATTGTTTTATAAAATTCTTAATT